TTGTCTATTTTAAGCACCGAATGCTTGAACCGAATGTGAGGTAAGAGTTGGAAGTGTTTGGCATATAATTCAAAGTATTCACACATTTTCTTGTGATCCAAATAATTGGGAAATTCTTTAGGAATCGGGAAATCAGAGAATGAATTGATTTCTTTAGACGAGTTCGTGATCGTCGTCTTCTGTACTCTTCCGACGCCTTCGATGTCTTCACGTCTGTAATACCAAAGACCCGATATATTCGATGTCTTCTCATAGCAGACCACTTCCAGTCCCGCTTCCAGACATGTCTTAATTGATGTCAATCCGGCGGCACCCGCGCCCACCACACATATGCGACTCCCTTTTGGTGACATTTTTACAAAACTTTATCAAACAAAATGAATTTTAATACAGTAATTAGTGTTTTTATATAAGAAAATGTTGTAAACAATTTTTAATTACATAATCACTTTATCTGACACTTAAGAAAAAATAAGATTATAATAACTATTCATTTATTTGACAATAATAATCACTGCCATTGACTGATAACAAATGTAAATGTATTTAATTTGATGAGAAAAGTATAATAAATTTCTCATTAATTGGAAAATCATACACGAATAATATTTAATTAGTAAGCTAGTACGTTTTGATATTTTATTCTAAACTTCTAAACATTATTTTTGAAATAAATTTTAATAAACTTATATGACTTTACTGGATATTTAAAATATAGGTGTTTTTATTCAATAATTCGCCAACATTTAGTCAATTAGCCATATTTTAGTCTAATAATTATAATCCAAGTTTTAAATTTATTTTAATAACTGTACTAGTAAATATCAGGCACAATTTCAAATCCATAAAAATCATTCCTTGTATAAGTAAAAGTTATTTGAAAACTTTTAGAAATAAAATCAAAGTTTGTAAGTAATCAAAATAATCAGAGATAAATAAGTCAAAATCCTAAACTAATTAAAATAATTGAATTATTTCTAAACTTTTGAGTTTTACTGTATTTACTGTAAAATTAATTTATATATATATATAATTTATATAATTAATATATATAACAAATTCATAATTTATTTGCAATGTATTCAGTCATTGAATGTTAGGTTAGGTTTGCATTTCATAGACAATACAAAGCATTGCTGCAATCGTACGGTTATGTGTTGAATATTGTAGACGTTTCGCATTGAATCTAAAGCATTGTCTCGACAACAATAATGCTATGACTGTATCGTATCATATGAATAACGTATTGAAGACATCGATTGATTTGATTCATAAATTGATACCAAATTAGTGGTAATAAACGGATCCTATCGATGGCACTGACAAAGATCGACAACTGGGACGAGAGTCTGGGCATCACTAACACGACTCCCACGGAAGACACCAAAGAGGAGGACAAACACCTGTCCGCTAAGGTTTGTGCGGCTTTTCACATGAAATCACTGTTTGGATCAAATGAACCGATGATTGTGTTGACCATTAGATCGAAACCATCTCTCTGTCGACCGAGTCTTCGCAATCGACCGAAACAAATGGCGCCACAAATCAGACACGCGATGAGGATGG